CCAGTGTTTGATACACCACTACAAGTGTATGATTGAGAGTGGCAGCAAGTCCCCCTGTCCTGGAGTCAGCCATTTTGGTAGTGCTTGAAGCAGGCAAGCAATACCTTGTATATATTTGTCAGGGATCCAAGCTGTTGGCAAGCCATAGCCATTAAGCAGTATTTATTTTCTCCTACAATAAATACAGTGTCACTCCCCCTTGTGGGCTTAGCAACCCTGTTTATTCCTTGAGCAACAGCTTCTGCTCCTTCTGAGGAACTCACAGCACTCGTAAATAAAACAACACTTGATCTTTTCTAATTGACAATGGTTGTAGTGGAATCCACGGATTTGAAAGGCACAGGATCAAAGGGAATCAAAAAGTGCAGTGCACTGGGGTATAAATGTTAGAAGGATAAAAAAATGTTTTTCAGCTTTCAAAAACTACAGTTTCACTCATTTTTTTGCACATTTCTAAGAGGACCTTGGCATAAACACCAAGGAGAAAATACAAAAAAAAGTAACCTGTTAAGTACTCCTGTGAACCTTGTCAATGGTCTTTTAGCATTATACTGTAGTTAAGTCAGGTTGTCGATCCCGTACCTCTGCTTTATCAACTTGGAAGCTGAAGATCAGGAGAGGAGAGATGTGGCATAGTTATATAAGCAGCATTATTTTAAAATGTGCTTTTTTCATCAAACATTAAATTAATACAACTGAATAAACCAAGACTAAAAACTTGTAAATTAAAAGCTTTGTGATGTATTATGTGTCAAAAATCTGATGTCTGATGAAGAGTTCAGTGAGCTTGATGAGAGACACATTCAGTCCCAGTGTCTACGAGTGGGTGTTTTTATCCTGATCTCTGCACTGGTTATTCACTTCACGATTCATGTCTGTTCTTAAAGCAACAGAACATTGTGTTGCTCTATCATACATTATTTTTGACATTAATAAAAAGCAATGAATTGTACTTTCCTCCTTCATGCACACCCACTCCAAGTTTCCCATTAGACCATTAATAAAATCTAGCCAGGGCTGTGTGCGTTTTACAAAAGAGGCACAATTACCTAAAAATATGGAAGGAAAGAATAAAAAAAAACATCCAGAGTAGAGCATTACACATTTTTAGAAAAGCAGTAGTCTACAAATGTACTGTAGGAAAATATAATTCACCGCAGTATAAGAATTCCCATGTGACATATCCTAAAATCAAGAGCCTATTAAAAGAAAGTTACATTGCTTATTATTCCAATATCAGGTACTAATTCTTTTAATGGTAGTTTTTTAATTCTTCAGAACTGGTCCAAAAGTAATGGCAATTCCTTTAATACCAAATCCTGTAAAAGCTACAGATCTTTGGTATTTTGTAATAGTGCTATCCATATTGCATGAAGGACCATGACCCTAAAATTTAAAAGGCTTTAAACTACATTTTACATATACTGTAATGTCTTGCAACATGATTCTACTGTAGGTCTGTATCTCAACCTTAAAATACCTTACCCCAAACCTATGTAAAATGTCAGAAAACAACAAATCGTAAGGAATACAGATTAGATTAGATCACTTTATTAGCCATATACAATTTCTTGCATTAGGAATTTGTCTTTTCGCATACCATGAGACACACAAGCACATAGACAGGGAGAGAAGCTTGGGGTCAGAGCACAGGGTCAGCCATTTATACGGCGCCCCTGGAGCAGTTGGGATTAAGGGCCTTGCTCAGGGGCCCAATAGAGTCAGATTCCTCTGCCGGCCGCGGGATTTGAACCGGCAACCTTCCAGCCACAGGCGCAGATCCTTTGCCTCTGTGCCACCACTCCGCCCAAATACAAAACTACTAGACATCAAATAATTGTACACCTTGTCCTTTACCATTTCTTCCTAAACACCGGCATCTTAGCCAGTGTGAAAACAAGAACTGTTACCTGAAACAATAACTGAACAATGCAATTCAGATGCTGTTTGTTTTTTCATCAAAAGTGCACAAGCATGTTACAAATGAGAAGGTGTAGAATTTTAATACAATTCCATTCCTGACAAAAGCTGATTTTAAAAAGACATTGGCAGTATTGTTGCATGAAACAAATAATGGAGGCCTAAAAAGCAGTATAAAAACTCCTGACATTTCTCTCTTGAGCTTAGAGACAGCAATTTGGACAAAGATCAATACTACAAGCAAGAGAAAAGAAGAAACAGTGAAAGAATAGTGGAGAAGCAATATTCCCACTTTCTTTAACATATGAAAACTAAAGTACACCCACTCATTTAATTGACTCATAACAATAATCATCCTTTATGAATGAGCACCAGTATATCAATCTGAATCAACAATAAAAAAGAAAAAGGAAAAAAAAGAGTACAAAGTGCCTTATAAAATACTACAGTTTTTCCTTCTAATATTTGGACTAACATAGAAATAACTGCAGCATTTGTAACAAATGAACCTCGGATAAACAGCAGGTTACTTCTAATAGTAATTACTGCATAAATAGGTCAGATCAGTCTGCAAAGGAACTATTACTCGTTCCATTTTTGCATGGAAAAATTCTGTACCTATTCTTGATCTGTGCTTTAAATGCAAAGAAAGCAAAAAAACAGCACATATAAAGAGAAGTCAGAAATACTGTATAAAACAATGTAAAGACTGGGAATTGAATTAAGACACATATACCCAAAAATTAAAACTAAAAACAATGCTATTAGTTCTAATATTTGTTGCCTTTTTAATGCCTCTCAGTACATTACATAATGTCAATAATGGTATATTAGAATATGTATTAAACCATCATTGACTTTAGAGGATGTCCATGTGCAGAAACAGAGCATTAAGGGGATTCTGAAAGGCATGACCACCGAAGACTTCCTTCCAGAGATAACTAATTTTGGCAAGAAGCTCCCATGGGGTGAAGGCACTACTGGTTAAAACAGGATGTGTTCAAACACAGGAGGGGTCCCTTGACTTGATACATAATGGCAATCCTTCAAGGTGAACTGCAATGCTATTTGTATATTTCGGGGCTAAAAAGAATTAGCATTGATGAGTGCAGAGAGGTGTGAAAATTCTGACTTCACACCTCTTGATTGGCCTCTCTTTCTGTCCCCTGCTCCCGCCTCTCACTCCTCCTCCCTCCCAACCTTTGTTCTCCCGCTACTTTACCTTTGCCTACTGCCCTGTCTCTCTCACACCTGAAGAAGGCTCCACGGCCGAAACGTGTTCTCTTTCTTCTTTTTTTCAGCATGGAATAAACCTATTACTTATTCCTTTGCAGCCTATGCATGCTGACGCAGCTACCCACCTGAACAAAGAAAGTACCTCTCTTAGAGAAACTTTATTTCCTGGACACTCCATTCAAAGCGCTTTACAGGTAATGGGGACTCCCCTCCACAAGCACCAATGTGCAGCATCCACCTGGATGATGTGGTGGCAGCCATAGTGCGCCAGAACGCTCACCACACATCAGCTATCAGTGGAGAGGAGAGCAGAATAATGAAGCCAATTCATAGATGGGGATTATTATTAGATCAAGATTGGTAAGGACCAATGGGAAATTTGCAGGGTAAACCCCTTTTAAACCCCGTTTCTTTTTGAGAAACGCCCTGGGATTTTTAATAACCACAGAGAGTCAGGACCTCGGTTTTATGTCTCATCCGAAGGACGGTGCCTGTTTACGGTATAGTGTCCCCGTCACTATACTGGGGCATTAGGACCCACATGGACCGCATGAGCGCCCCCTGCTGGCCCCACTAACACCGCTTCCAGCAGCAACCTTAGTTTTTCCCAGGAGGTACTGTCTCCCATCCAGGTACTGGCCAGACTCACACCTGCTTAGCTTCAGTGGAATGCCAGTTGTGAGTGTCAGGGTGATATGGCTGCTGTACTGAACCTCCATTTGCACATTTGCACATTTTTCTATTTTCATATAGAAAATTAATTAAAAACAGGCATCAGTGTTGCCTGATATATTGATTATTTGCTTATTTTGACAACCACGCCCACATGAGGAAAAATTCTCGTCTAACAGGAGTATGGGGTTCAGATAAGAAAAACATAACTTAGAACCAAGTACCACCTGTTCTACAACATTCATCTGGAAAATTATTTACCGCTGGTGTGAACACCATTCAGAAGTTTGTCTGAACATAGTACTTGGATCTGTTCTTTAAATAGGTAAGCCTATATTTTGTCTGGAAAACAAAACTATGACCTCAAAGCTGCCAGCATATCATACAGCGTGATGCACTTTGAGAGACTACAGGAACAAAGATCTGGCCATCCCAACATTTTTTGATCACTTCTCTTTTGAATTTTTTCAGTGATTTTTTAGTGATTTCTTAATTTATTTTTTAAGAGCTCTGAAGATCTGTCAGGTAAGAATGCTGGTAAGACAGCAGAGCCGGTGGCAAGAAACTTGTGAGATCTGTGCAAATACTGTGTCTGAAATAAGTGCATCTAGTACCAATGTCTATGACTATCACCTGTACCTCACAAGAAACATTACAAATCTCCACAAATTCAGTTTAATTTAGAATGGAAGCAGATGACCTTCAAAGTACCATTCTACACTTTAACCAATAATTCAATGGATGATAACTGAAGAGCAATCCTTCAATATCACCCTATCCAATGCAGGGAACCTTTAAGAAGCAAACTATCCATTTTCTGAGCCCATCCCTTCAGAACAAAATGCATTTTGAGGAGGGGGGGGGGGGGTCTATGTTCCTCCTAAGGTATTAGTTTTTCTTTTCATGACCATACAGAATCTATTTTTAACAGGAAAGAAGGGGGGCACAGATGTTTTCTTTTTGAGAAAAGACTCCACTCCATTCTTAAACAGCCATTTCTGTGCTGCTGCTACTACTTCTACACTCCCTCAATAATAATAACCTAGTCATTGTGTTCATAAAAATATATAAGAAAAGCACAGCAATGTTGTGGAAATCTATCTGTATGAATTAATACATAGTTTTATATTGCCTTACCTCTACAAAATAAACCACTGCTTCAGTGTACTTACGCATTAAGGTGCACACATGCTTTTCTGCAACATGATCTGTAAACAGCTTGATGAGATCATCTTTCAGGTCTCTGTTCAGTTTTGTTTCAATGTAAAACTTGTTCTGGAAAGCAAAAGGAAAATGGTGTTTGAAATCTGCATAAATGCACTTTCCCTTGTGCTCAGAGCAGTTTTGTTTTTCTCCTGCAAGTAGTCTTGGTTAGTTTAATAGTTTGAAGTATTTAAAAGGGGGTGTTAATAGTTATAGAGGTTAAATAAGAGTCAAATATTAGTAGGTCTTGGCTATTGCAAGTACGACCAATTTATGACTGTTAAATAACCCCTCCATGCACACACCACCAGGCTTAGAGCACTGAGCAAGGTCACATTTTCTGTGAACAAGGCCTGTGGTAGTTTCAGGGATGTTACTAAGGTCACAAGATTTTTATAAGAAAGGTGTTCAAAAAGGCAATTAAATCATTTATTAAGGAACTTTTCAACGCCAAATAGTGCTCAGAAAGCAAAAACATTGCGGTTGTGTAACAGGACAGAGAAGACCAATAAGATGAAGTAATGGAAACAGGTGAGTATTAAACATGTATTTGTGCAGTTAAGTGTGTAAGGATGTTTGTGCAGACTATGCTAGAACTCATGAGGGGCCCTGAGATGAATAAAGTTTCTAGACAGAAGACTACGACAGATTGCCCCTCATTCTTCACTCATATTTTTTTTAAACATAGCTCTGACTTTGGCGAAAACATTTAACATATAACATATTTATAACATTTAAATTACCAAGAAGACTCTCTAATGTACTCTACTGCTACTGTATCTCAATACATACAGTATATGAAACGTATCTAAGCCCCTAGTGAAGTTTACTAAGAGTTCATATGTGGAAAAAAAAGCTTGGACCCCATTCTTATGGTGTGTTTACAATGTGAAACAGTATTAGTTTAAAATCCTCAAACATAGAGACTTTGAAACAGTCAGGTTTTTTTTTCTTTCCCAGATTTATTTTGTTTGATTAATAGTAGCAAAGATAATGTTAGTGTATATTACAGACAGTGCCTATAGAAAGTCTACACCCCCTTTGACCTTTTTAAATTTTTTCCCACATGCATTCAATTATATTCTGGTTTTTATTTTTAATTAATTCAATAAAATATCTGGATTTTCTTTCACTTTGACATTACAGAGTACTTTCTTAGTTAAATACATCATGGTAACACAATAAAATGTGAAAAAGTCAAAGAGGGGTGTAGACTTTCTATAGGCATTGTATGTATATGGTTTGTTGTATTTATGGAAAACCTAATAAAGGATTTTCCCAAATCAAAACTGTAGGAAACAAATTGCTGTATTATAAAACGTATCAACCTAAGCAAAATCAAGCTTGTGTATGACCAGAGAAATAGAAGTCATTATAGTCTACAGCTGAATAAAGCTAATTGGACACATGATTTGGGCATACACCGTATAAACTGGCTTATAAGACCTGTCCTGATTAAATGAAAAACTGATTTATGACTTTAAATGACTGAAGATTCATTACTGTTATTATGGAAAGATCATAGGAATGTTTATGTGCTCAATCAAAAAAAAAAGTCCCTGGACTTTTACCTCTCAGAGGTCAAATGCAAAATCAAACTAAGTGAGTGCAGACAGGGTCAAGGTTACTATGGAACACATAGGAAACCATACATGATCTATCACAATACACAAAACATCCTTATTTGTGACCTATGATCTCTTTTAAAGGTCAAACACACACCTATGCTTAAACAAAAACAGCATATGTTGGATGGGCCACTGATGATTGCTGCTTACAGATTTATTTCTGTCTATCCATTTCAAATGTGCAGCACTACTTTAAGTATATGCTGACAGTCCCTAGAATCAATAAGATAAGATAAGATCACTTTATTAGTCATATATAATTTATTGCATTAGTAATTTGTCTTTTTGCATACCCCAGCTTGCTCTCCATGAGACACACAGGCACATAGATGGGGAGAGAAAAGCTTGGGGTCAGAGTGCAGGGTCAGCCATTTATACGGCGCCCCTGGGGTTAAGGGCGTTGCTCAGGGGCCCAACGGAGAAGGATTCCTCTGCCGGCCGTGGGATACAAACCGGCATCCTTCCAGCCACAGGCACAGATCCTTAGCCACAGAGCCACTGCTCCACCTCGGAGTTAACCAATTTACTCAGTGTATTCTTACTCATTGGGATTTCACTTTGGTGATGCAGTATAACTGATGTTCAGCAGGCTGGCAGCTGGCCTAGCATAAGCAAACTGCAAATGTCAGGACAGAATAAGAGAACTCATTGAAAAATACGGATCTTAGTAGATGGAGGATACAAAGAAAGGTACCCCTGTTTTGCCATATTTCAAACATCAGGGAAGTTATCTTTCTAAAGCTTGACTTAAAGAGTACTTAGGTTTAAAGATTTAATGAAAAAATAACTTCCTTCATTTCAAGTGAATAACAGCACTTACTGCTCTTATTTTGTATTTAAATAGGGATGATAGTCATCAATAAATCAGTGAGTTAGTATGTATAAAATAAATGCCGTGTGTTAACGTTCTGGGGTGTCACCTACAGTATATAAGATTATGCACCTATTATATCTCAGTTCATACCTTTGAAAAAACTAAAACCCACTAGAACTTGCATTCTTCAATTAATGTATCCACTACCTCTTTAATGATTTATCAATCTGGTCCAACTTTTTCAATTCATTTTTAAGTATTTTAAGTAGTTGTAATTTGCTTACATAAGACATAAACGCAGGATTACTCTGTTCTGGCTTGCCATGCTGATTTTGAGGTGTAAAAATTCAACACAGATACATCTGAAATGTGGTCAAACAAATAACTGATTTATCATACTGTAATACTTTTTAAATTGGTATAATTAAAAGCAAGAAAGCATTTTTGAACTTTGCTTTCCCCATATTGCAACATATCTCCACATAATACATGAAGACAAGGTAATCCTATGGGCTAACGGATTTCTGGGTTAACTCCCCAAAGGTAAAATATTCTAACTCTACTATCGCAGTATGAGAGAGCTGTTCAGAAGAAGCACGTTTTGAATTTTTATCATGCTAATTTCAAAAGATAAGTGTTATCATTGGCCTTCACTCTCCATAAATATAGATCTCTGCAAAACCTTATCTAAATATAAAAAGAAAATAAATCTCTCCTTGCTGGCTCATACATTCTTCATCTCCTCATAAAACATCAACAAAAAGTTCAAAATCTTAAGTTGCTGTTGTATTTGATGATAACTAGTACTGTGCTGCAAGGAATTATAGCAGAGCATTATCAGCAGTCTAATTCACATAATATATATGATGATGTATAAAACCTGACATCAAATTGCATGAGACAAGAGTGTCAAAGATGAAACTGCACAAATAAAATTATAAATATACAATTTTCCAACATGCCCATATTGTATGTTAAATTTAGTTAATAACATGGCAAGCGGGGCATTAAGTAAAACAGCATACATCAATAATGTTTTATTATTATTAATTTAAGTAAGAATCATGAACATTTAGACCATAGGCTTTTGGGTACAACATATGCTAGATTTGAGAATCAGGCCATTATCAATATTTTAAATTAATGGTGAAAATTCAGAGTTTGTGTAATCCTTTTTCCTCACCTTGTCTGGTCTTTCTCTTGTATGGGAGAACTGTTTCCATGGTGATCCACACTTAGAATATTGTTTGTACAAAAAAGCTACTGCTATTCATATTAAACTTTGATTATGCTGTCATTAATTAGCTCACTACAGAAATTCAGTGTGCTACTCTAATTCAGCAAAAGCACATGAAAGTAAACCCATAACAATCACAGCACGACCACTACCACCAGAAAAATGCAGCAAAATCTGAAATACTCCAGAAGTGTTCAATATCTGCATCTAACAATGAAACTAAAGGGCTGTGAACCAGAAAGTCTCTCTTAATATGCATTATGAGAGTATTAAAGTAAATATAAAGGTCAATTATGAGGTTAACAAGTTACTTTCTCATAATAACCTCCTTTGAAAACTTAAATCATATTTATATAAATATTTCTGTAAAATATATATGAGGTAGTTTCCTGGAAAATTAATACAGTATGATATTTTCATAAATACATTTTCAGATTTCATATAAGTCATAAATTAGCATTGTGAGGATGAATTTTAAAGAGTGCCTGCTGCGAACCAATCTAATAACTCCATTAATAGAAAACAGAAAGACATAATGCCTAAGTTAATTTAACATAACTTGCACATTTATCAGAGTCCCAGATTATTCTTTTGCTTTTATTAATTAATGTCCCTATATAACAATTACTGGGTCACTGCCACTGAGATGTACAGAAAGCACTTTTCAAACCTCATATCAATTTTATGACGGAGACAACAAATTATCATTATCATATAAAGCCTACATAACATAAGCCTGCAATTATAAAAGGCCTCCTAGATTTTTTGTAACACCCACTGACCTCTTAATAAAGTCCTGCTCGCTAAATCTTGCAAAATAATCCAATACTGAAATGGCATTATACTGTGAAGCATTGACGTGTAAAACTGAGAAAAACAGCTTATAATAAAACAGGATAAAAATGTAAATAAGGCAACGGGAAAAGACACCAATTGGTTTAAGAATAATACAAATTGCTTTCATACTCAATACCCAAGGTAATTTAATTGATTTAAAGCTGTATTAATATAAAAGAGGTTAGAGTGGAGAGATGTGTCAACATGCAGATTCAAAAGGAACACTAAGAGGTTTAATTCCACACCAAGAAATACATCTAAAGAAAAGATAACATTCCATTGTGTTTTGTCTTCCTCGTAAGTGTGTTATTAACGTCTATTCGAACCATTAATGTAAAAGGCCTGCACACATGGGCTACGACACAATATATATTTGATAGACTGAGATCTTCCACAACCAAAAGTTTCAGATGACTTGTAAACACTCTGAGACCCTCATGTCTTTGAACAATACAATCAAGACTTATTTGCAATTTATATGTAATCTTGTGAGATTACATATAACTGTACATGAGATCAACAGCAAAAAAAAAATGGCAACCACATTGTGAATAACTAACCAACAGTAACATCAGTAATAAAAAGGTGACATGTAGAAAATTTCACTGAAGTCTATCAAGAAAGAATCTGGCATTAAAAGGTGCTGCTGGAACTAAGAGCAGAGCATAAGCACATCCATGATATTAAAGGTTTTTCTGTAAAAATACAAAAGATAAATTCAGCAAACAAAACACATATAATTACCTAAACCCACAGAATGAAACCACATTAAATAACTATGAAGGAGTGCTGCATTATGAAGCTTTCAAACATGTGAAATGTCTCCTTATAAGAACCATGACTGTAAATGAAGACACAAAGAGAGAGATACCTGAATATGTCCATTTTATTAATCAGTCTTATGACATGTTAAAAACTTTGATATTTACACTCCTTTGCACCCTCACTGCTCGGGGCTGTAGTCTTCTTTTGTGAAAGGAAATGACTCAATTTGTTCTATTTCCATCAATTTCCCGACAGTTCTCAAATGTCCTGTAGACAAGGCTTCTAATTGGCTGGTGCCAATTAGAAATCCGGGATTCAGCTGTCCCTCTGTCTCTTTCTTAACTGCCAGATGAGAAATGTCAGAGAGGATGTCCAATTAACCTGCCTCAGTCTGGCACTGCACTCACTACAGGGTGCAAATGTCCCACAGCGCTTTAATAAGAAACATTTCTCTTCTTTCTCAAAAACAATATTGTACATCTACAACCTACTTACTGTAGCTATGTCAGGATCATTAATAAAATAATGTCAGCTTGCTAGAGGGAATGTCTCTAAGAATATCAAGGCACTTCCACATCAACCACCAGGTATGAATCTCTTACAGTTGGGATACTTGCACTAAGTTGCAATTCTTTTTTACTAACCAGTTGATTGAACAAGTTTACTACATACTTTAAATGTTTTATTTAATGTCATGGTTAATTTAATGTTCTGAGTAAATTCGATTTCAACTTTCTTGAGCTTTAATTCAATTGCCAGTGCAACGCATTGCAGGTTTCTTAAGCTTCAGAGTTTTGGCTCTCAGATAGGAACCCCGTAACCGCACACAGGAGAGAAGGAGGATGTGTAAGCAGACTCCTCTGCCTCACCCACCTTCCAGCTACCCATCTTTAAACATGACACCGGCATCACAGACAAGTAAAAGAGGGTCACCACCTCTGGAGACACTCTCTGACAGCATCACATAGTCTTGGAGGCATTGTTGCTCTTGCAAAGTGCTCTGGCCAACTATTCCCACCCTCTCCTTGGCAACACTGGTACCAAATATGTACCACCCCTTGGAGAATCCCAGTAAAAACTGGCACAAGACATGACTGAGACTTAAACCTGTGACACCCGGATCACAGAGCCCGATCTCCATCTGTCTAGAGAGTCTGGAGAGCTATAACTCATCCAGGACTCTGCAGCTGCCTTTGCCTTTTCTTTACCATATTTTTTGTATGCTACTCCATTACTCTGGCACCCTCACTATTTTGGCATGCACACGATTCAAAATCTTAATATTTGTTGTCTCAGCCACCCTGATCCCACCTATCTTCAGTCTCTTATCTCCCCTTTAGCCCCCAAATCTGTTCTGCTCCTCTTTTTCCACATTTTCTGTGCCCCTCTCCACTTCCAGAACCCTTTCATTGTACCCTCATACCCCCTCAGTGTCAGCTAGTTAGCTAGCCTTCAGGTCATTTTATTAATTCAGTTTATTTTATATTTTACCTACAAAAACAAAATAGTCCCTTGTACTGAATCAAGGCAAATATGTCATCCTGGATAAGGGCATCTGCAAAAAATGCTCATATTCTCCCCTGGACTCCATGCAAACTGGATTATGGAAAATGGATTTTCTCAGGGAAGATCTTTCTATGCATCTATATTTCTATGCATTACAAAGCTTTAGAAACTTTTTGACAAAATACACATTTTACTGCATGGGTTCATTGAGGATTTTAACCTTGTTTTTTATAACTGCATCTAATAACTGCCTACATTAAAAAACATCTTTCTCACAGCTAAAGAATTATGCATGTAAAACATTTTAGTGGTCGTTTTGAAAGAATAAAGAGTTACAACGGCAATGTACTTAGAAAAAAAATAGTTCCATTCTGCACACAAGGCCATACAAAATGCTAAACCTGGATTACAAACTACTGAAGCAATGAAAGTAGAGCTGACAGAAATATATACCTCTAATACTTATGACTTGCTTCCTGAAGAGTAACTTGCAAAAACAAAGGAATAATCAGGCTGGGTCAAGAAAAAATTAAACTGGAAAATACTTTGATACTGTCTGCAGACGGCACCAATGGTTAACCCCACAAAAGAAGACAAAGCTGTATTGCCACAGACTGGAAACTTATTTTACCATTCCGGCACTAATTTTTTAAAAGTTGTCTACTTCACAGTTGTCTACTGTATTTGTGCAACGATTCTGATTTTTTACATACATGAACTATATAACAAACGTAGGAATTCAAACATTTAATCTAACAATAATATAACCTTTGTATATTTCTAGAATACTCCAACAAACAATATTTTTGCAGCTTTTCATCGTAACAAAGAGCTATGAAGATTTTTTTTGTTTAAAGACCTTTCTCTATAACTAATTTACATTAGGAGCAAGAATCACTGTATGTAAATTACAGAAGTATTGTCATGAAATACAAACTCTCTATAATACATCCATATCAATTATGATCATAATCAATTTACTGTAAATTAAAATACACTGGCTTGATTACACTATTATGCTGCAAAGATTTTTGTTCCCCTGTTGTTGTGTATTATAGCATTCTAGATTGAAGTGCTTTTTCCACACAAGTGAAGTTGAATGTTTTCATTTGAATCATTTATGAAATGTTAAAGTGCATTGTTTTTTGTTGCAGGCTTCACACAAAACAATGTATTTCAACAATCACGATAAAAATAATTAAAACTTTATATTAAACACAGTTGGCAGGTTGGAAATTAAAATTTGGAAAAAGGTGCAATTTAACATTTCAGTCATAATTTTATTCAAATTTGAAAAAAAAGCAAAAGATAAAACTAACAAAATTATTGTACCAATTATAAGTCTGTTCATTGTTAAAACCTAAAAAATACTGCCTCAGCTTTGCTTGTCCAAAGTCATTATAATCCCCAATATGTTGATTTCTCTATAGCTTCAGTCATCTTACCATATAAATGAATAGAGGCACGATACTTTGGAGGGCTCCCATGTACTGGGTGAGAGCTGAGTTGAACTTCTCTATGTACTGTTCAGGAGGACTGACCTGGGAAAAAAAAGAGAAAGAGTGAGAAAGAGAAAGAATGTGCCCATACAAACTCTCATGCATGTTTTATGCATTATTTTCTGAATAGTTTTAGTACCCTCAAAATAATGATATTTTTGTGATTAAAAGTGTACATTCATTTTATAGCATTACTTGCTAAGATTATCATGACAAGGTATGGCACTTACTATTTATAAGAGAACATTCTGCACAAAAAATGACACTATGTCCCTACAAATCTCAGACATTATGGATCTTGAAATTTTCATTAGAATATAGATGGAGCATGTAAAATAGATGAGTTCTAATCAGGCGGCTTACACCAGCCTGTTGTGTTGTGTTCATGACATCTCAGGTACATGCAATGGCTCTTGTTCGGGTTTATAATTGTTGTCCTACCATATCTTACAGGTCTAGACCAATGCTAACACTGTTTCTGCTAAACACGACATGTTGAGAACATGGTGTTCTGAAGAGGTCTTCAGCTTTATCGGCCACTGGAAACCATTTGCATTACACAAATCAGTATAGATGTGATGGATTACATCTGAACCAGACAGGCACCAGTCAGTGTGGGGCAAAGAAGACTGCAAAACATTTAGGCCAGTGGTTCTTAAACTATGGGACGCAAGTGGTGCGCAGAGCCTGGAAATTTGTTGTGTCCACTGGAAAATTGGGACAGGTTTTCATATTTTCTATTTTAATAAAATGAGTATGTGTCGAATACGCAGCCTACGTACTACGATACAGCGTGCGCTAATACTTGAGTGGACACAAGAGCTACTATGTAATTCTATACCATTCAATAGGAATGCGCGCTATGACCGTAAGTGACCAATTGCATTTAAAAAAAGTTACCTCCAGCAAATAGGGAGGTAGGAGAATGTACGTGATTTTGGAACAATGCCAATGTTGTAAGCACAGGAAAGCATAGAAATGCGTGCTACAAACGCTGGCAATCTTGTGAGCACAGGAAAGCGTGATAGATAACAGAAAAATATTTAAGAACTGTTCTAGGTTAATTTGAGAAAAATACACTGAGCGTCTCTGTGTTTCACTCCCATGCACATGAAATAAAACCTTCTTTTAACTTCTGAGACTGCTGAAACGGAAATGAGGATAAATGCAAGTTTGCACATTGCCAAAGCATGTAAACTCCATACTAATTCTGAAAAACTTTGTTTACCGTTGGCAAAAGAGTTGACAAGTACTATGTGTGGAAAAAAGGCTGCTAAACAGCTCGACCTGCTGTCCCTTCCGAAAGACACAGACCCTCATAGAATTATTCATATGGCAGATGATATCAAAAGTACACTGACAGAGCGGGTTAAGATGTGCAGATGCTTTTCTGCAATTAGATGAGTCTGTAAACGTTGTTGATTTGGCCAATATGCTCATTTACATTAGATTTGAGTTTGAGGGTACAGTGCGTCCCATGAGGTCTTTCTGTTCTGTAAGCCGCTACCAACAGGAACTACAGGAGCACATATTTCAGCTTCTGAATGAATTTATCAAAGAGAATGGCATTGACTGGATAAAATGCGTCGGAGTTTGTATAGATGGTGCTGGAGCGATGGCAGCGGTGTAGTTGCACGAATTAGAGAGGTTGCTTTAGATATAAAGTGGACGAACTGCAGCATCCACCACGTGGCCTTGGCCATCAAGAAAATGCCTGAGGATTTAAAATCTGTTAGACTCTGTTGAGAATCGTATCAAGGCTCGAACAATGAATTCACATCTGCTTTGCTCGACTAAACAGGCTCACCCCTCTCCCTGAAATGGTGCTTTTTTATTACTTATATTTAATTGTTGTTGTTGTTCGCGTTGTCATCCTGTAAAATGGTTTGAGAAGCCACCTTTAAAGGCACTATATCAAATAAAGTTTATTATAATATTTATTATATGTGTATGTGAGTGTGTGCACACATGGGCGACCATGTTGGTCATTGAGAGTTTCTGGGGTTCCTATGAGAAGATGACTTGTCGGTGGTACTTGGATGCTTTGGTTTGATCAGGGGTGGTTCTTGGTTGAGAACCACTGATTTAGGCTGATCTGGAAGAATAGGGATCCAAAGAAAATCTACAAGAAATGTACAGGTCGTCAAGTCAAAAAATTAAAAGCAGCTGAAACATACTAGAAATATAAAATGGGATACACCGAACTTAAAGAAACTACATATGAAAAACTCTTAAGGTGTACAATATTGACATGGTTTACCTGTATACAGTGTGGGTAAAACTAAAAAAGGAAAACAATGTTAATATTCAATGCTAAAAGTGTCAAATCTTAATCAAGGGATGTTATGTTTAAATTGTACATTGCATTAGCAAAAACTCATTTAAAATACTGTGTACAATTTGATCTTGTTTTGAACGACCAGACATTTAAACGAATGTCCTACTCTGCCTGGCTAAAATAACTAAATCCCTTTAGTCTTGAACAAAGAAGACTACCACGGGGACCTTTTTCAATTATTCAAAGGCACTGACAATGTCAACACAATGTACTTGTTCAGAACCAACAGTGAAACAGGAACCAGAGGACAGAATGGGAAACGATGCAGAAGTGCACTTAAAGCCAGGAACAGGAAGCTCTTCTTTACACTAAGAGTTGTGTGTCTGGAATATGCTATCCATCTTATTTTGAATAAGTAAACTCCCCAGATCCCTTCAAAACAATTATTGGATGAAATCTTCAGATGAATTACTGTACCTATGAATAAACAAAGAGTTTGGTGAGATGAATGACTTCTCATTTGTAATTCTTTTTTAGATGAACTTCAAACACCACAACTTAGAAGCTATTATAGGGATTACAGAACTTACAGTTTTTAAAATATTTCATCATTGTAAAATAACAATAACTGTTATTACCTTTTAATGTTCAGAACATCTTGGTTTGAAGAAAATGCCAAGAATGAGTGGGAATGTTTTGCTAAAACAAAGTCACACAGTACCTCAACATACACCTTTACCCTGCTGCAGTAGCCTGTGGTTGCATCAACTGTCAAGCAGATCATCTTGTTGTACTCTTTATCACTCCTACTCTAGAGCTGATTCAAGGCTCGACATCTTAAACAACTGATTAGGAATTTCAATCCGCATGTCATATTTCATTATCACCTCACTTGCGACCCAAAGTGGGATTCATGTAAACAGATATTCTTTCATAGAAACAATTCTGCATTAAGTGAGGTTTGCTTGAAGATGACCAGTCTTCACTCTTCTTAAGTTACACTACAGGAAGCTGACCACCGCTAATGGTGTGGACATGACGGAACATAATTGAGCTAATATGCAACTTAAAGCATGTCCCTCTGTTGAGAATTTCAGCAGTTTACACACTGAAGTTCCAGTGACACTGAACCCCTTGTTACCACCCATCTCTCAATCTTACAATAAAAATGACGCATATCAAAATGTCTGAAATAATTAAATAACACAATATCTCATGGCAATATTTGAAGGATTCCTCTTCAGACTACCTCCATATATATGATTAAGGCTGTTTCCGTATTTGTTACATTAACACCAGATAGCTAACGCATAATGGCACTTCAATAAAAAAAACATCTTGTCCACTGCGTTTTTGTTCCCATGGAAACAAGGCTGTTATTTTGATTAAATGTATTTCAGCTGCATGAGCATCCACCATTCTCAATCACAACCAGTGCAAGTTCATGCACACATAAACCAAGAAGAGCGTGAAAACTGGGATGGAACAAATAATGTTTTTGAAAAATCCTTCAATCATAAATATTCTTATCATAATATAACAGATACACAAAAACTAAAATAAAAGTCTAGTGAAGAATTTTGAATTCATAAATGCAATGCTTTCAGAAGCAGAAACATTTTCGCGTCCTCCCACCCAAGTTCTAGTTTTTCAAAGCCAGTTTTAAACTTTCAGACAAATTGCCGGTCCCTACACAGTGCATGGTACTGTAACGCATACGGCCACCACTGCAGGTTGTTCGAGCCGGCTCACCAGCACGGTAACGGCACCGCCCTTCCCTGTGAATAGCAGGGAGCGCAGCAGAGGTTGGGATTTCCCTTTTTTCCCTGACAGTGGGGGGCTGACCTGAGGTGGCAGCAGCAAGGGCGCATACCCACGTGAACCCAGGAGCGATATAGTACCATGAAATTTTTACATACAACAAAGCAGTGAATAAGTCTTTTGTAGGCTATTTTTCGATATTGGTGGTGCAAGATTTGTAATATTAGCATTCACTTGTACATCTGACGTTTTTTTACCAACATTATAGTGCAACCTACAGGCATTTAAAATGCAATTATCTTAAGTTTCAATAGATTTTGAAGTTTTGAAATGTAAAAGATAATTGTGTTGCCTGCAGAATTCAGTTGCACAGATCTCTGTGCAACTGAATTCTGATTGCAATATGCAGCATAAATTAATAATAAAAGCAGAACTGCCACAGTGACCTTGCAACTCTAACATTCATTTTCATACTTGTACTGTCCTTGCCTCAGACCTGAACACTGGAAGCAGATTTAAGATGCAGAATCAGAGTCATTTCTTGCACAAGGAGTTTTAAGTGTATATAAGCACTTTTAGTGTAAGCAGATTCTCAGAGATGAGATACGTCAAGAAACGTATACTTGTGTATACTTCAAGAAACGGTTTGGTGACATTCTCTGATCAAGGTCCAGTGGGCCAGCTTGTTACCTTTGCTATTCTATTAAATATTCTTATACAATCTCAATTTTAAAAATATTTTGTTTAAAATTCTTCCCACAGTGATGAATGGCATATGAGCCCTACAGCTTCCACAGTCATGGGCTCAGTTCGGTCTTGGGGCACCCGTCTGTGTGCAGCACACATGTTCTCCCCATATTAGAACAGGTTTTTGCCAAATGTTTTCAGTGTCCTTCTGCCACACCTGAAATGATGTTTGGGATATTGACTCCCAGTACAACTGGTACTGACTATAGAACTACAGAGAAATTGTACAAGTGAAGCTTGATGGGCCAAATGGCCT